GGTGCAGCTATGGTAACAGACTGCAGCGTAACGTACCGTAAAAACTCCAAAATTTCGACCCTTCTAAAAATTTGGTCGCCTAATTATTTGTCAGATTTCGGTATTTTATTTACCTCCAAATTTTGGACTCCACTAAAAATTTGCCGACTCATTCTTATTCGAAAATTGCAACCAGTTTTGGTTTTCCCCAAACGAAAAAAAACAAAAAACGATGTGAGCGTCCAAACGGGACTTTCCCCGAAGGCATGAATCTGGGTTTCTGATTGATTGAGAGATTTTTATTTTATTGGTAACGAAAGTATATTCTAAACGAAGTTTCAAATAGAAACGAACACAACACACATCTTCTACATAGAAGCAAATGATCATGGTTGCAAAATCCAGTCATGCTGCGTTTCTGAATTGTTGATTATTACTCAGTAGTGATTATAATAATGTACACAAAATAAATTTGTTGAATTGTTATGAAATACAAATAAAAGTCAACTTAGTTTCATCGTAAGCAAATGATTCCGGTCTCATATAAACGTTTGATGCTGTAGGATATCCGCCATGTTCTCTTAGGTCAAATAGGTCAAATCGCTAATTAACCAATCAAAAAGCTGGATGATGCCAACGTGTTCAAATTACCATAGCTTATTTAAATATGTTAATGTTATTGAACGCAATGCGGAAAAGATTGATGTTGTAGTACGATCTTTTGGCTTGGATTTTGATGCGAAAACTGCATGATTTTTTTTTTTAAATCAAAAAATGAGTTGTTTAAAAAAATAAACTGGGCATTTAAAGAATAATTTAACATTGTTTACAGTGATAACAGCTCATTGTTGAAACGAAGCTTACCCATTCACGCTAGTCACGATAAACATCATACTCTTGAATAGGCGTCAATGACTACGGTAAAACTTAGACTACCGGTATTTTAGCCGCCAGGAATGATTGAAATGTCCGAAAAATGACGCCAAAATACACCTTAAAAGTCCCATTTTATTTTCTTAAATCCCATTTTATTTTTTAATCCAAGGGCGAATTTACGGCAGAATCTGGTTCCTCAAATAAGGGACACGTGAGCTTTGATTCTAACCGGATACATTGCACTGGGTCGGGGAGACTCTAAAAACACGTCACATTTCCAACACTAATTATTTAAAACCGGTCGAAATTTTTGAATTTTTACGGTAGTTGTATTGCATACATAGTACATGAGTATTTAGTGTTGAGGCCTGTAGTTTATAATGTGATTTTTATATGACAAATTTAGAGGCGTGCATGTATATGTGATTATTAGATGAATTTTGGTTTTCCTTGTTGCTTAGCTGTGGTATAATTTGTGTTGAAAAAATACTAATACCTATTGTCATGATAACTGAGACAATTTGTTATTCTGTTGTGATTTCTAGTATGTGGAGACTGTTGCCTATGACAATGGGATGGCAGACTACTGGTTATTTACAAACTCAACATCACTGGATGGCTGCCTAGTGACCAATCTTAAAGCACTCACCGGTTACAAATTCAGAGTGTCTTGCCTCAATGAAGTAGGTTCGTCACCTTGGACACCACTAATAGATGGAGAAACCATGATGGGAGGTGAGACATGTTTCTTGTGGTTTGCACTAACTTGTATGTTCTTTGAATATTTTAAACCAGTCCTAAACCCTCATTATTTGTTTTCAGTCCCTAGCGCATCACCAGAACCGATAATTGTATACTTAATTGACAACACCACCATAGGCATAGAATGGACTCCCATAGATTCTAGTGATGTCAATGGAATTCTATCAGGCTATAGAATACAGTACATTAACATGGACACTAATGCTGAGGTATACAAAGTTTACGCATTATTTTCTTTTGTCTTTTCTCAACTCTTAACAATAGAACTAGTATTGTACATTGTTACACATTGTTTTATGTGACAGTACCATTATTGAACAGTTTGTTCCTCATTTCGCTAAAATCTTTGCTTTCCTAGATAGGTTGCCATTGTAAGGCCAAACCATGATGTTTTAAACATATTAGATAATGGCCATCATGTGACTATCTGTTTTCGTTTTACAGACAACATTACGATGTGATCCTGACATTACACATGCTACAATCATAAGTGTTGATCCCAATGTCAATTACAGTGTCAGTATGTGGGGATATACAGCGGGAGGTGATGGGGTTAAAAGTGATACTATCGTAGTCAGTTATCAAATGCTGTTGGAAAGAACGTCAACATCACCACCTTCTATTTCGGGTATGACCACAGGTACGTTTTAGCTAGTATGAAGTCTCACTGTTGAGGTAACGAGCGGGGAAAAAAATGAGTACCTAATAGTTTAATTGTGATCAGGATAATAAGCAAGCAGTATGGTATATGTTTTTAGAAAGCTAAGGTTTAGATTACGTGATTTTTTTACTGTTTTTCGTGATGAATAGATGGTGTATTATGAACTGTGATACATCTATATGATACCACCGTCGTAATTATATTTTCAACATAGACGCTTACAAAATACATGCAACATACATGAGACAAAACAATTCAAAATTTTTGTGCTTGCCTTTTTTAGCTCCGCTGTCGACTTTGTCGAGCGGAGCTTATCATATGAGTGATTGTCCGTCGTCCGTCGTCGTCCGTGTCGATGTTTTACTTTTTCGACTTCTTCTTGAAAACTACAAGCCTGAATGCTTTGATACTTGGTGTATATGTACCTTGGGTAGACCTCTCTTAGGTTTGTTCATTTCATGTTGATATCTTCAATTCTCTAATTTTGGTGAATATTTTTGTCATTTTTGGTAAAAAGTGATATTTTCGACTTCTTGTTAAAAACCGCAAGTGCAAATGCTTTGATAATACATATATAGGTACTACATGTGGACCTCTCTCAGATTTGTTCATTTTGTAATGATATCTTTAATTCTCTAATTTTGGTGAATATTTTTGTCATTTTTGGTAAAAAGTGATATTTTCGACTTCTTGTTAAAAACCGCAAGTCCAATTGCTTTGATATTACCTATATATGTACTACATGTGAACCTCTCTCAGATTTGTTCATTTTGTGATGATATCTTCAATTCTCTAATTTTGGTGAATATTTTTGTAATTTTTGGTAAAAAGTGATATTTTCGACTTCTTGTTGAAAACTGTAAGTCCGATTGCTTTGATATTACATATATAGGTACTACATGTGGACCTCTCTCAGATTTGTTCGTTT